GGGGGGAGCGTAGAATGAGCATATCTCCTCCTTTAACTCATCAATTCCGCACAGAAATCTGAGACCACGTCATCTCTTACTTCACATTCCCAAGCCAAAATTTAGAAGTTAAAGTAAAGTACCAAGGAGAAAGAAATGAGCTACCCTCGTTAAGGAACCTTTGACTCCCATGATAAACAAGTCCGGATCATCATTCTCAATACCCCAAATGCTGCGGCTAGCTTTTCAGTATCAGACGTGCTTCCCAGGATTTCCAGTTTATATATCTCTTTAGCTAGTGGAGTTGCACAAGGGTGTTACCTTGTTAATAATTTATCTTGGTCAAATGAGACCAAAGCTAACACAAATAGAAAGCAAGAAGCTTAATATTCCTGTGTGCATCTCCTAACAAAGCTAGGCCCTGAATCAGGTTGCACTTCTAAGTCTATTCACTATGAGAGTGACAATTAAATCATAGTTGACTTTCTTTCTCTTAATATAGCATGCCCAACAGCTAAACTCTCCTATCAAGAGTCATCAGTGGTCCATTACCAATTTTCTCCCTTGTTGACTCGAATACTCAACCTTAGGGTAGGAGGTGGAGCATCCTTTCCACTAGGTTAAAGACTTCCATTTCAAACCTTTCCTATCATTCAACTATGGCCACAAATCAGAAAACTCCAAAAATAAGCAAGAGCATTCAGAAAGGATTTGGAAAAGATATTCTTTTCCAATGAAAAATATGAGGCAAATTATATAGCTTCAAAGGAGGAGTAGAAAAGGTGGGAGGTGACAGGTACCCGGTGGATTAGTCGAGATGCGCGCAAATTGGCCGGGACACCACCATTACGGAAAAAAAGAAAGAATTTGTGACTATCAACAACACAAGAAAAACGAATATCGTCAGAGATTTTAATTGCACTGACATAGCAGCTGAACAGAGGAAAACCTACTATAATGAAGCATTTATGCAACAAATGTTTCTGACACATAGCCTATACCGCTTGATTTCTTGCTCTCCCCAAATAATGTAAAGGAGAAGGAATCAAGAAACTATTTTTTTCCCTCCTTTTTGTAACTTGTATAAGGGAAACTAGAAACTGGTATCCTGAAGTCGTGAAGTTCGAAGCCTCTAAAATAGACATACTGAATGAAAAGGATCATTTCATATAGCTAAAGGTCAACGTTTTCACATTGCAAAATGTGCATGTCCCAGTAATCCTCCAAACACCCATCTCGACAANGAAAGTCAAATGCAGCATCATAATTAGAAGGTTAACAAAGTCCAAAACTTCAACGTGCACATAAGACAGTCCTAGGTGCTAAGAACTTTACAATCCACATATGATAGTTCAATCAATTCAACTATGTGCCTCAACTCAATATGATATTCGAACAAAAGGGGAAAAAAAGCAAGAAAATTAAGAGTTGCAGAGATATTGTACCCCATTCTTAGCCTCAATAGCATGCTCGTCGTCGATATGACAGCAAAGGCCAACAATATCAAAATCCTCGCCACAGAAAGGGCATAGAAACTCCGGCCTTGACTCCTCTTCACCCTCATACTCTTCTCCTATATTATAGAAGTCTGCATAAGACACCAAATACACCCCAACTTCAATCACAAAAACCATAAACAATCTTTCCGACAATTCAACAATCCATAATGCAATAAGAAAAAAACCAGCAATACAACAACTACACCTCAGTACCAAACAAGTAGGGGTCGGCTATATGAATCCTTACTAACCATGTTTCCTCATTTAAATTCATTTCAGGCCAACATTATACAAAATAAAAATAAAAAAGAAAAGTAATGAAAGCTCTCTATATTTCCTACTGGCATAAGATTCTCCATTCTAATAGGGCTAAAGGACTCCTAAAGAGTATAGGATCTTATGAAACATAATAACATGACTTAAACATATTCCTAGCAGTACAAGGCACCTTTAATATTGAATAAAATAGTATTATTGTCTCAATCATCTTACAGAATTTTTGACAAAACATCTGTTTATTGGGCCGCCCTTTTACTATATGAGAGCCGAACTGCTTTCCTTTTTGGGGTAATATTTGTAAAACATCTTTACAATGCCTCTCTACAAAGTAGGAATAATTTGTGTGTACACACTACCCTCTCAGACCCCACAACGTGTGATTACACTGGGTACGTTGTTATTGTTGTATTTGAAAAACATCTTTACGATAAAAAGAAATTATTTGAAGTACTTCAAACCGAAAATGAGCTACTTTTCACCATCATACTTCAGAACACATATATATTTTTTTACAGAAAGTGTACTGAAGATGCCTAAAGAGGAAAGTAAGTGAGAAAATACTAAACCCCTAAATACCAGAAACTAAAACCCAGCATTGCAAACGTAAAATTTCCTTTTCTATTCTTTCATTTTCTTGCAAAACATAATCCACTTAACCTCAGCTCACAAACAAATTCCTTCTTCCATCCCAAAAATTATTATTTTTTAAACAGTATTACTATTTAAAGTAACTCAAATAAATCATTAGATACTTTGACTCGTACTCTTTCTTTCTCAATTTATGTAACATTATTTAAAAAAGGCTAACTTTTTAAACGTGTGATCCAAAATAAATCATAAAGAGATAAATTTTGTGTAGTTATAAATCATTTCATTAGGGATAAAATGAGAATTTAGAGTTAAATACTTTTTAAATATAAAATGTAATATTCTTTTGGACAAATTTAAAGAGGAAAGTAAGTGAGATAACACTGACCTGAACGAGATTGATTACGTCGTGAAGAAGTAGAGAGACGAATCCAAGAATCAGAATCCATTTATAGTATCCTTTAAAACAAATTTTAAGTTAAAATCCTTAGAAAATTTTCAAGAAATTGTACATTCCCTGATACTGAATCAAAGATCAGAACTTTATGGTACCAAAATGCAAATTGATCAAAACCCTAAAGAGAAAATGAGAAATTTAGTCGCGAAGTTTCGTGGAAATGGGAGGAGAAATAGCTAAGAGGGAGCCTCCAATTTTGTACAATAGGAAATGTAGAGGAATTATATAGAGTTTAGATTGTAAATAAAGGCTTGACGTTGGAGTTTATTACGAAATAGCCACTGTCCACTTGGCAGAGAAGAATCGAGTCATTGACTCATCATGATGTGTATATTCTAGGAAATTATGGAAGCTTGTTACTTAAGTTTGGACATTCGATTATACGATTTTCTCTCTCTTTTTTTGTTTTTTTTTGTTTTTAATAACTCGGACTTGAGAACTTTTACAATTATCTCTATGTGACCTATAGGTCACAAATCGAGTCGTAAAAATAGCTACTAATGCGTGCATTAGGTTAAGCTGTGTGCATCATACCCCTTGGGTGCGGCCTTAACGTGGAATGTCTTGTGTATCGGGCTGCCCCTTGTTTTTTTGGACTCTGAGACCTCTTAAGAGGAAAGGAATTCCACCGATCTATTTCTCTTTAACAAGTCATGTGCATAGTGAATTTGTTATTAATCAGGGTTCTAATATAGATACTGAATACTCAATTAACAGATTTTAAAAAAAGTTTGTTAACCCCGACCTCCCACCCCCACTCACCAAGAGAAAAACTAAAAGATGTTCTAAAAGATATCATAGGAATTTTGTTTTGGAAGAAACACATTTTTTGAAATAGTTAGACATGGAGGGAATGTTTTTCAACAAAAATAAATTAAACGTTTTGCTTATTATATGTTACTAGCTAGTACTTTGTAAAACTACAACAATAATTACATTCCTAGTGTGATCTCACAACTAGGATCTAGGAAGGGTGAAGTATACACAAATCTTATTCCTACTTTGTGCGAGAAAAATGTGATGTTTCTGATAGACCTGTTTACCCGAAAAACGGATAGAGTTGAATTTGTACGTAGTTCTAAGGATATGTGGTGTAGCTTAATACAAATCGTAAGGATAAATAGAAATGTCAAGTATGGATTGTAAAGAATGCAAAATAGACAAGGTTGTAAAGAAGATGAATTTTAGGACTAAACAAGTGGAATCAAATTAAGAAGCTTGAAAGAACAACTCTTCACTATAGGAGAATATGGTGCTTGAATTACAATGTTAGCAAAAATTTGCCTTTTACGGAAATGATAAACATCCCCTTTATAGTAGAGGAATCTTACTTTATATATAATTAAAAATATGTAATGAGAGACCCATGATAAATCAGCTTTTCCACAATTCCTGCCAAGATTCTCTCCTCTAGTGGGATTGCAGCGGCTCTTGTCTATAAGCTCGATATTGACTCGAGTTTTCGGTCTTGACTCGAGCTTTCGATCTTGGCTTGAGCTCGATTCTGACTCGGACCCTTGAATTAATTCGGGATCAATGTTGGTCGGTCTCTGGATCATAAGCTCGGCAACCTTACTTTGCATCATAGTTCGATTTGTATTCGAGCTTGATTATAATATCGAGCTCGACATTGATCAGCCCCTCGGACTCGAAGCTTGTTTGTACCATCTTCGGAACCCATCTCGAAATCTTACTTCGATCGATTATGTTTCAAACTCGATCAATCGTACGAAGGGCGAAATCTATCTCGACCGTATACAGATAGTCCCCTCATTTCTCAGGAAGAATGTGGTGAGAAACGATATAATTTTTCAACGGCTCGATCGGATTATAAGCTGACGCTTACATTGGGCTTGACCATGACACACGTGATAGCTGTCCCATCGATTTATTCATTCAAGGTATTTAATGCATGTCAGACGGTGGTCGGCCACCGCTGATACTGAACCGCCATTGCTTAAACCTATAAATAACCCTTCCTTTTATCATTTATCACTTTTACATCTTTCAATCTTCCAAATTCCCCAATTTTTTTTTTCGTATTCCTTGAGTTTATTCGCAAATCTGTGATTCGTCTTTGCAAAATTCTTCTTCTAAATTACCAAATCTTTGTCACCTTCTTTAAATCCAAAATGGTGAAGACATCCAAAATCGTCCCCCAAAAAGAAAAAGCTTTTTCTTCCCAATCCGCCGCCGATAAAACACCAGTGGATCCCCGTCCTGAGGAGTGTGTTCCGGTGGCGTGCGTTCTTACCTCCGATTTCAAACTTGATAAAGGTTCGCAGGTTCCTGGCCGATGTGAGCCCATATCGAGATATATTTGTTCGATAACCCGGAGCACATCGAGCGGATAAAAAAAGATTGTAACTAGGAGAACAAAGAGGTGGTAGTGTCGTCTCCTGAAGAGGATATTACTACTCACGTGAGAGGGTTATTAAGCGTGTATACTTACCCTTTCACGTTAGGTCCCCTCAACCCTGTTATCATAGATTTTTGTCGTAAATACTTAATAACCCTAGGCCAGATACATCCTTCCTTTTGGCGGATCGTTATTTTGATCCGATTTTTTATGAGTAAAGTCGAGGGGATGCCTTTCACCCTCGATCATCTTGTCTGATTATATGGTCCTCGCCTTTTTCGAGGAAGGTTAATAAAACTCCAACGTCGAGCTACCAAGGCTTTGTTCTCGAGTATAGACGAGGCTAAGGATCGAGGCTAGATGAGCCGGTTCGTTCGAGTGAGGACTTTGGACCTGATCCCAATAAAAAAGATGCCTTTTCCCGAGGAGTGAAACATGAAGCGTAAGTGTAATTCTATTGTTATCTCCTATTATGTTGTTCTTTCATTTCTTTTCTCACCAATATTCCCATTTTGTGATACAGCGGTTCCCTGGATGCCCGGCGCAGTGCCCGATCTCAAGAACTGGGTACGTGATCTGGTTTCGACCTCCTCATATGCCGAGCGCTTATGGCGCGACTTGTCAAAGGGCCGATAGCAGGCCAAAAATCACGGTGAGCACTTCTCTCGTATCTTTTGGTAATTCGAATAAGATGCTTTTCACATACTTCAGTAAAATTTTCGTATGCAGGTGTGGGCAAGGATGCGGCTTTGAGGCCCTCGTCTGTCGAGGAAGAGGCTCCGGCCTCTGTCCCAAAGCTGGTAAAAGATAATAAGAGGAAAAGAACCCCCGTCCTCGAAGATCAAAAACCGAAGAAGAGGACGGCTCGTAAGCCGAACAAGAATGCCATTCCTTTGACCGTAGAATCAGTTCTGCGTCTGAGGGATAAAGAAGAAGAAGAAGAAGAAGAAGAAGAAGAAGAAGAAGAAGAAGAAGAAGAGATCGATGGGTCTGCTTTGGCGGCCCGAACAAAGAAGACCACTGACGTTCCACAGGCAGCTGGATCGATGGGGTTCATAAGGCTCCGCCTCGAACTGAGGATATATCAGAGAGAGATTCGGGCAGAGTCCCCGAGTTGCTGGAGATCGAAGATGTTTCCCATCGAAGCCGATGGATGGAGGATATGTCTGAAAGGGCTCTTCCCGAATCTTTTCGAACCGAAGAGAATGCCCCAGATGACTCATTTAGTGCAGTAGCAATCGAAGGCTCGCCCACTTTCCCTGCTTTTTCCGCAGGGGCAATTCAGGAAGCCCAAGCTTTGAGGGCCCTCGAATTAGATAGGCCTTATGATGGAGAGGATCCTTTTCGTGACCTGTTCATCAGCGTCGAAGACACTGCCGGTACAAATGATGCATCAGATCTTTTTCACGGAGTGCAGCAGGCTTTAAATCAGGTAGGCCTTAAATAATATAGCGTTACCTTTAAGTTTGCTTTTCTTTTCTGACTTCGTTTCTTCTTTTGTTTGTAGGCCGCGGCAGTTCATCGAGAATCATGTTCTCAATCCCGAACTGAGATGCGTCGATACAAGGCCGAGCTTCAATGGGTTACAGAGAAGAGGAACTCCTTAAAGCTCCTTTTGGGCCAAAGGAGAGAGGAAATAAAAAACTTCCAAGCTGAGTTGGCCAGGGCTCACCAAGATCAGATCGATCTATCCGAGCAGGTAATAATGCTTTTAAAAGCCTATGGGCTTGATACTGGAATGATGACTAATCTTTCGGTCTCACTGCTGCAGCAGAAAATCGAGATGATCGGAAAACTCCGTGAAGAAGTCGATGTGATAAGAGCGGAGTCTTTGAAGTGGAAAGAAGGAATGGACCGCGTTGCTGCAGAGAAAGAAACTGCTCGAGCCCAATTGTCATCGGCCGAAAACCAACTTCAAAAAATGAAGGAGAAAAGCTCGGTCCAAACAAGAAGAATAGAGGAGCTCGAGGCTCGGTTGGCCTTTGTACTTTCCAAGGCCGAATTTGATGCCGAAAAAGCAAAGGCCGATGCGGATGCACTTGTGGCCGTCTATCGGGCCAATGCTGAAGCTGCCCAGGTCCAAGCAAGAGAGGCAGCCGAGACTACCGATACTCGAGCACATTGGGTCGCCAAACTTGCTAGGTGCCGATCTCGGAGGGAGACCCTCGAAGAGATCCATGCTCGAGGTTTCAACCTCGCTGAAGAGATAAAAAGGGCCAAAGAACTCGAAGCTGATGTTAAAGCCTTGGTTTTCGATGACGATGATGATGACAATGATGATGACGATGTGAGTAAGAGCGGATCCGAGAACGGGGGGAGCCCGATAGAGAAGAGACCACTCCTGGATATGACCAGGAAGCTTAGTCCTTAATTTTTACGTTGTAATCAATCATATAAACAATTTTGTATATAAAAATATCCCTTTTTTTGCCGACTTGCTTCTGTTTTATTTCCTGTCTTGTGAAGACTTTATTCACGCCTTATAAATATTTTTACAAGGATTTAAACAACTTAATCAAATTTGGACTTTGTAGCCTCTATAACCGAGCGAGCGCTTACTCAATCTTGAAATAAGGTAGCTCGTATGCTTAGTGGTCAAGTTGAGTGATTATCTAAACATAAGCTTACTCAAACTTGAAGTGATGTAGCCTTTAGGCTTATTAGTTGAGTCGGTGATTCGAGCTCGAAGAAATATAGCTCGTAGGCATAATAGTCAGGTGAGTGCTTGCTCGAACTCAAAATAAAAATAGCACGTAGGCTTAGTAGTCAAGTGAATGATTCGAACTCGAAATAATGTAGCCCGTAGGCGTAATGGCCGAGTGAGTGCTTGCTCGAACTCGAAATAAAAGTAGCCCGTAGGCTTAGTGGTCGAGTGAATGTTTTGAACTCGAAGTAATGTAACCCGTATGCGTGATGGTTGAGTGAGTGCTTGCTCGAACTTGAAATAAAAGTAGCTCGTAGGCTTAGTAGTTAAGTGAATGATTCGAACTCGAAGTATTGTAGCACATAGGCATAATGGTCGAGTGAGTGCTTGCTCGAAATCGAAATAAAAGTAGCCCGTAGGCTTAGTAGTCGAGTGAATGATTCGAACTCGAAGTAATGTAGCCCGTAGGCATAATGGTCGAGTGCTTGCTTGCTCGAACTCGAAATAAAAATAGCCCGTAGGCTTAGTAGTCGAGTGAATGATTTGAACTCGAAGTAATGTACCCCGTAGGCGTAATGGTTGAGTGAGTGCTTGCTCGAAATCGAAATAAAAGTAGCCCATAAACTTAGTAGTCGAGTGAATGATTCGAACTCGAAGTAATGTAGCCCGTAGGCGTAATGATCGAGTGAGTGCTTGCTCGAACTCGAAATAAAAGTAGCTCGTAGGCTTAGTAGTCGAGTGAATGATTCGAACTCGAAGTAATATAGCCCGTATGCATAATGATCGAGTGAGTGCTTGCTCGAACTCGAAATAAAAATAGCTCGTAGGCTTAGTAGTCGAGTGAAT